TATTTATATATATATATATATATAGTCTAGCAGTGTTCTCAATTGTGGAGAAAGCTTAGAATGGCTATCAGCCCTCCGTGTCGGTCCAAAAAAGGGCCAGAACGCGTCGAAGACGACTATCCGCTTCAGTCCTTCGTATCAGTCTAGTTAGTAAGCTCCTCCAAGATGCGCTTTTAGATCGTAAGCATTACCGAACGACGACTTCCCAGCAGCAACAACATCAGCCGACTTAGGCAAGGGATAGATTTGGCATCTTGTTCTTTCACTACTCGTCGCTAAATTGTGGTCACGTTGAACTGTTTCGCGGGCCCACAAGAACAAGGAGAAGAGGAGAACACCCTGAGGCAGAGATAGAGACAGCAGATGAGTGGAAGTGCATTTGCTGACGATGCGACTCTCAGAAACTCCAGCTGAGGCAATTATCTAGCAACAAGAACTCTAACAATAAAGTTAAGTAAAAGATGGAACTTCGTACTAGCACTTCCAGCAGTATGTACAGTAGCTACGAATTTAAACAGAAATCGCAGAAATCTAAGCGACAGTCTAAGTAATTTCTTCCTGCTTAACTTGAATACTTTCTACTAAAATGGAGAGTACTTTTTATCTCTGTCTGAGTGGTCCTCTAAGAGACGATAATAAGCGAACGCTAACATTTAGTTCGTAGAAGTGGCCTCTGAGTGCTTCGTCATGTTAAATGAAAAATTCATGCCGAAGTATTGCAGCAGAAAAACGTATGGGCTCTTATTTGGTCTGGATATGTTTGTGACGATCGTGGGATACTATATGGATGCGTATTCAATGTTTTGCATGGTCGGTTATGCCATTCTTAACTAGAAGATCGCTATTCAATTGGCTCTCAGCGTGTTTACTGAGATCATTGACTTCAATGACGTTTACACGACGGCATTTTAGCGATTTTATAACCAAAAAAACGCAGCCCAGTAGAATTGTCTACGAGAATCTTGGTTTCGTCGAATATGCTACGTAAATCAACGTACCGACATTTTGAAAAATAAAATCCACAATTTGCATAAGTAATAGACGTCTATATATAAATGGCATAAAGGCACTCCTCATCGAATATCTAGTAGTGACAGATCAAACATTTACTTTTTTGCAAACCTTCAAATAGCTTACGGTATGTGTAGCCGCAAAAACATTAAGTTGCTCTTTGAATTGGTATATCAAGGCCCATAAAACTACCAGTAGGTCAAAAAAATGCATGAAATTTAAATTTTGCTTTCTACTGTCGAATACAATTAATATTGAAATATAACAAAATTTCTATTATCATTTGTCTCACTTTTCAGTGAATTATGATGGAATGACCCGAAGAGCCTCTTATTTACCAAAGGTAAGTTTGCCGTCTAAACAGATTTGCCTCAATATGTGAATGTTTGTATTATACATGGCACACTTCGGCTGTACTACTGCCAGCAAGCTGTGGCTGCAGATTTGTCGTATTTTTTGACGCTTCGCTTGGCGTCTGCGAACGGCTAGTCATCAAAAGCACGTCTCCCTCAAGAGAGTAAGTATAATGTACAGTTAGCTTGTGGGCACCTCAGGAAACATATCCAGAAATGGTTTGGCGAGAACGTTCAGCGTACGAAGAAGGTAGGGAAGCAGGAGATGCTCTTCAAGCTGACAGCATTCTGGATGGAAAGCACGTTTCAAACGCAGCTTCAACGCAGCATCGATCTACCAACGTTCTATTGTGGCGAAGGAAAGGAAGCGAACGCCTTCACACTTAAGAGTTCGTTCGTTCAACGATACCACCATTTTGGACAGTTTAGCCAATGTGAATTTGGAGTTAGGACGCAGTTTGGCCAGGCAAAATAGGATTGGCTCGTTATCCTACCGCCTTATAGGCGATATATCCAGCCTCATGGTATTTCCTATTGAACAGCAATTACTCGGTGGACTGGAAATTGATCAATCGTAAATAGTTAATAGGTGACTCTGGATGGCGCTCTCCTCCAACCAGTGGAGGCAAGCTCATACTGCGTCTTATAGTATTCAACAATTGCCGTAGTCGCTTCCAAGAAAACAACCCTCACAATTAGAGGTCTTGTAACCTGTAATAGATGCAGTCCTGTAACACCGAGTTGGATCGCATCCAAATGCAATGATTACTAATCTGTCGATCAACTCGAAAGGCAGCTAACTGGATCAAGCATATTTTCCGTGTTAGTCCTACATACGACTATTTGTCTATCTGTACAGCGAAAAAAACTAGTAGCAATAATGGTTGAGTCTTTATGAAATACACGATATACAAACATCTCAATCGTAGCAGACAGAAAACGGTTGGTTTACGGTACCCTTAGCTATTCTGTTACTCATATCTTTATTCCGGCATGGTTGGTAGTACTGAAAAGCTACGGGAGGAAATAGCCATCTGGCACGGCTGGTATCGTAAAATCGCTTAGGTATAAATTTCCTTCATATCCTTAGGCATAAAACTCTATCTCGTGGAACGAGTGGCCAGAACGGGTTAGTGGCAGTCTTGTTGCCAGAAGGCAAGGCGATTTCTACTGCTGTCTATCGTGAGGCGGCTCTTCTATTAGTCTCACGCGGTCGGACCGATCACCAAGCGTCCCTATCTGCTGCAGCAGCTTTCCTTATAGGTCGTTATTCCAACCCGCGACACATAGTTACTATTATTACTGCTACTAGGACTAGCACACTCTGTCGCCGTTCAACAAATTTTGTGCAAAATCTCTTGCAGTCCGCTCCCACTTTAGCTATCGGCTTATGGATAAGCGGTAAGTTGTCAGTTTTGGGAGCGCAATAGTGCCTGTAGCTTGCAGACATCGTAAACCGCATCCGACAAAACTCCGAGATCCAGAGCCAGGTTCCACCGGATTCTGATATCATCGTCGAAGTCCATTCGCCTTTTCTCCCAAATACTTGAAGAACTTTGACGCAAGTTTTCTACTTTTGCCGTTTTTCTTTCTCAATCGTACTGGTGCTTAGGCCGACCTGGCCGCACCTGACGCCTAAATCTAAAACAGTTATGGCTAACTATAATATTCCCAGGAAGTACGGAAAGCCGGGCCGGTCAAAGATGCGGATGTGAATTCGGCTAACGTACATCACCGCTCGTTACTGTTGCATTTGTGAATTTAATTAACGAAGACGAATTTATCTTGGATATAGCAAGCGAGTCAGTTAGAGCCGTAGCAGGCAATCTTGCCAGGGACGTTGCTGCTTTATCAAGATAGAAAGCATCAAAGAGCTCGTTCCACCAGCTGCATGGGTTGACGAGTGCGCGACCCGTACAAGCAGCAGCTGAAAGTAACTATAGTTCGTGTACGGCGGATGAATTGAAAAACTAGAGAGAAGAGACTGCGAAACGGAAGAATTTCGCAACTTTACGAATTTAAACGGAAATGGGAACTACGGATTTTTCGCTAATATGGAAAAACTTGAAGTGCGGTTAAAATTGTTTTTACAAGACTAAGCATCAAGGTCACCCAGATCGGAGCGCGGAGGTCGTTTGCTTACTTTCAGGTCTGCGCAGTGGGCTATTTAAGGAGTTTCCAAAAGATATACTTTTTACATCCGGGGCCAGCGAGCCATTCGTTGGCCACCCTGTTCTACATCAACACAACTTTTCCACAAGCTCTGCCGCCACGTAACGAATTTGCGCACGACATCAAAGTCCCTTGAAGCATATTTAGTCGAGTGTAGGCTTGATCCTCCCAGGTAGAAGTATTCTTGTTAAGGCAACATATTCTACCTAGTGATATCCGTTGCATCCGAGGGAAAGTTCCATACTAATTGAGTACACACTTCAAGGCCTCTTCAAACATCCTTTCCTGACCTAATGCTTTTCATTTCAAAGGGGAATCTAAAAAATGACAAGAAATAGTGGTTGATCTGCTGGGAACGCTATCAACCACTGCTCGAGAAAGGTAGACAAGCCTCTGCCGACCACGATTCTATAATAAAGCCGTTGCACTTTTCATAGTAACGATAACTCGTTTGAAAGTAGACCCCTTTGTCTAGGTTAAGATCCAGATTCAGACCCAGAGTGAGCGGGAACATAACGCGAGAAGGAGTTCGCCTGCGTTGAAAGGAGGGTTTCATCATTTTCAACCTTCAGAATGTTAATGCATAGCTCAGTTTTGTTTTTTTTTACTTATTCATGTTCTGAATCGGATTACCTGCGAACTGCCTTATGTGTGTCTTTGTAGAGCTCACAATCCATTCTTACTTATATCATTGTATAATGGTATTGTATTGTAAGGAAGAATTCATCTTATGGTCTATTCGACTCAGATACAATTCAACCAAAATGAATCCTGTCGTCCACCATCGCAATCGCCGTTTTCAGTGTTGCCCTAGGCCGATATTATTCAATAGCGTGACCGGCGTTGTGTGCCCACCACTCATTAGAGAGAAAACGGCTACGCGATCCTCCGCCCTCCGAGCTGTGCCTTTATCTAGTGGCGCTTTCAGCCCTTCCGATATGAGCAATAGCACTAGCACTAGCTGAATTGCCGTCATAGCAGCGTTGGTGCAGAAAACAGCTCTGAATCCCGCCCCTGACATAAGTTCAGAATGGTCCGACATTTGCATGCTGGGTCGGCCCTTTTCATCTACGGCACTCTATTGTCAAGTAATCGAAGTGTGTATCGGAGAGTTAGGACGGCTGGCAAAGTCTGCGTGCCCAGCAATACAGGGCTCGGGCCTGAGCGAAGCGTATTAGAGAGTATAGTCGCTCGTCATAGATGCTGCTGTATAACTGCTGAGATTCACTTCGTACAGTGATGTAGTGACAGAAAGCGAGAAAGAAAGACAGACAGAGTATATCACTGCTATTTGTTATCATTTGTGCCTGCTACTAGCCTATAATACATATTCAGGCGAGGGGGTGGCTGGCACAGACTTTTGGTCGAAGAGCGCGCCACGTGCGCAGGCCGAACATGGCTGCATACGCATCGACCTCAATGTATTGAGATTGCTTTGCTTCCCTCACTGGGGGGTGATGGATTCTGTGGTATAGCAGCAAGTGGCGTTGACCCCCAGGGAAAGAAAGGGAGGTACCAATGGTGGTTTGTCGAAAAGCCATACATTGTAGGCTATTGTCTTTGCTTTGTATGCCGCCGTAGTTGTTGACGCTGTGTTTGTCGCGGCCACTGCCGTTCGTCCTCGTCGAACAATTGCTTTGTAGTATCATCGCATTTGGCCACAGGAGAGCAGACACATAGACGCACATTGAGCTACAGCAGCATTGGTGCAGTGGGTCGCTTCGCAACTGCATCTAGGGGCGATTGGCGCATGGCTTCTGCCCGCATTTTGCCTGGCTCTCAGCGATAGCATCATCCTGTTTGCCCTAAATGCATGAACGCCGCGCTGCTACTTTTAGCTGCAACGTACATTACAGGCGCATATAGTCGGCGACTCTATCGGCCATATGAAATCTCTAAGCAACAGACAGTTTGTAGAGGACGCCTCTGATGCTTGGCGATGTTGGACGCCAATGGATAGTGCAGCACGGTGACACCGGCGTCGAAAGCCCTACAGAATGTAGTTAGTAGGACAGAAGGCAGCGCAGGATGAAAGACACGCCTTTTGCGTGTCTTTCATCCTGCGCTCCTCTGCTTCCTTTATCCAAAGGCGTGCTTGTGGTAAATGGTCGTAGGCGGTCGGTTTTTAGTTTTGCTGGCAAGTAAACAGCAACGGCGTATGGCGAATGTGCGCCGTTTGCATTTATCTCTACTGGAGAAACCGGTTAAAGCTACGCTGGCCGCGATGCATTTAGTTTATACTGCTATGACGTTTTTTCATTAAAATAAGCACGATCGGTTAGACCTCTAAGTAACCTGCACGACTACTTTTGCCTACCACTGTTTATATTTATTTTCTAAATGGCATACCGCTGAGCAACATGGTTACCACTGTACATGCCCAGTATGCCATTGTGTAGTAGTCTGGGTGAAATGCTTTTTGCTAGCGCGAGAAGTCGGTTTTTCAAAAGTTGTCTAGATTTGGTTGCCTTTTTCTATTTCGTTCGTTCCATAAGCTCTGATCCTTAGCCCTCTTGAGAACACCAAGGCCCAACGGTCAGCAGTGTAGTAAGGCTGAGTGGATAGCTTCTGCTGTCTCAATAGTAGAAATGCACGATTGCAGCAGCTGTAACTTTGGAAAGGGTTTAGGCCGCTCAGACGTCCAACCGATCGACTAAAGTCAGAAAAAAAGAGGGCACGTTTGTAGGTGGTGGGTTGCACTTGGCAGCAGAAGAGGATCCGTTTGCAAATTGCATCTGACAGGACGGCAGTTCTGCGGAGCGTGTCCGCCCGGGCGGGTGAGGTAGACCCCTGCCAAGCCAAGAAGCTACCGACCTTC